GAAGTGGAGGAGAACAGCGTGAGAGGAAGTGGAGGAGAACCTACCAGCATGCCTCCGGCGAACAAGGCGAACTTGGAGGAGTTGGAGTGCAGACAGATCTGATGCTCTCCAGGTGTGTGAGACGTGAAGGTGAACCTCCCCTCTGAGCCGTACTGTCGAGACAGGATCACCTGCAGGAGACACAGACAGGTAAACACTGATGGACTATGAGCTCATGATGAGGATGAGGATGAAGATGTTTGTTCACCTTTTCATCAGGATCTTTGACTTCCACAAACATCCCCAGACCCTGAGTGGCCGGCATGTACTCTTCTCTCTGTTTATCGTACAGCTGAGTACGGTAGTTACCTGCAGGGAGGGAGGAAGGAAGGAGGGAATGAAAGGAAGGGAAGGAGGAAGGGAGGGAAGGAGGTGTGTTGTGGTTAGATTTCTGTATTCTCAGGAGCACTCATGAGCCATAAATCCTCTTAATAGATCTTTTCTCTGAGCACTGCTCTGCCTTTAATGCTGCATTTATTCCATACATTTAAGGAAATATTCTTAATTAATACTTTTCTTGCGTTTATATTTAACACACTTAATAGATTCTACTTCTCCACTTACAATGTGGTTTCATGTTGTAAGAGACTGATGCACTTCTTTCTTGATTTATTATTTTTGTTTTGTTATATTCTTGTATTCTCTGCATATATTGTGTTATACATTGTAGCATTATGGACACACCTTTATTTATATTATTCTAATACATATTCATGCTTATATACAAGTACAACTGTGACATACATGTTCATTCTCTGACAGAGTTCTTCTGATTTAACAGGTCATGTTGTATTTGCACGAACAGGTGAACTGTGAGAGGGAAGGAGTACTACCACCAGAGTACACAATGAAGTATGTTTACTCAACCACTGTACCTGTAAGGTTTGAGGTGCTTGAACTTCCTTGTTCTACTACATCTCAGGAGGTACATATTGTACTTTTTACAGTACTACATACTGATACAGCTGCTTTATTTGAGATTTAACGCCATAGTTTGTTACTAGCTACTCTGAGTGAGTGAGTGAGTGAGTGAGTGTGTGTCTGTCTGTCTGTCCGTCTGTCTGTACAAAGCTATGACGTTAAATCAACACATCAGCAGTACAGAACCGTCTTGTGTGTGTGTGTGTGTGTGTGTGTGTGTGTGTGTGTGTGTGTGTGTGTGTCTTCACAAAGCTATGACGTTAAATCAACATGTGTGTTTGTGGACACGAACGACAACTTGAGCTCAGTTAACCGATTAGCTAACTAGCACAAGTTGGTGAGCTAGCTCGTTAGCATTAGCATCAGGTAGACTTCCTCTCTCTGAACACTCACCGATAATCATCGTCTCGTCCGGGATCTCCTCTATGAAACACTTCTTCTCGGTCTCTCCGATGTGAAAGTACAACGAGGACACGACGCTGTAGAAAACGTTCAGCAGCAAAACCGACAACACACACGATCGCATCCTGACAGACACCATCTTCCTTCCTGCCGGGAGAGAGCAGAGATCCGACTGAGCATGCGCGGACACAGCAATGCCACGTAAACCCTCGCTCGACTCTGGCCAATCAGCGCGACGTTTAGAGGATGCTGGGTGTTGTAGTTCTTAAAGATTTGCTAGTAAATTCAAGTTCTTTGAGCTTCCTGAGGGCTGTTTGTACTTTTTTTAAATATACTATATTCACTTTACTATTACTACACTTGACTGTGTCTAAACGTGGTATGGATGTATTCTCAATACTGCACTTTATTTTCTAGTATTTGGTCCTAGTTAATTCGTAAATGAATAAAAACGTAACGTTAAATTGTTCCTAATGCTTGGCATCAATGTTCACACGTATTTACGTTTTACTGATTTAACAGGTAATTACAAATCTATCCATCCGTCGTCCATCTAATAGTATCACATACAGCCACTAGGGGGCAGCAAACTAAACCCGCCCCGGTTGAAACCACCACCGAAGAAGAAGCACTTCCTTCCAAGCTGTTTCCATGACAATCAAACATGGCGCCGGGTAAGTCACTCACTCGTTGTGTCTAATAAAGGTTTAGACGTAACCAATACTAATAATAAGTTATATTTTAATTTATTTACCGATGTAACAGTAAACCGGATGGCCGAAACATCAGAGAAGAGACCTTCCGGTTGTGTGTTCGGAATCTACCGGAGTTAGCCGATGTTAGCTTCGTTAGGTAGCGTTACCAGTCCTCGGTAATAACTTACCCGGATGTTATCCGGATGTAACAAACAGCCTACGGTAATATTACCAGTAGAGGAAGAACTGCTGCGATACTTTTGAAAAATACTCCGTTAGAAAATAAAAATCCTGTCTTTAAAATGTTACTTAAGTTCAAGTATGCAAGTACAGAAAAATGTAAAAATATACATTATGCTGAATGCATCCTAACACATTATTAGCTATATTATTATAGAATATTAACTTAACTATTGTTTTCCAAATATATACTTTAATATAAAATGTTTTCTTCACCTCTGCATGACATTAGGATACTTGTTTAATCTTCGCTTTTGTAAATAAATACAAATTCAAAAATATTTAGTAATTTGGAACATTTGGTTAAATATCGCCTTATATATTGATGCATTTTGATCAATTATTTCTAATTTATATTATTTTCTCTTCATCTCTGCAGGAAGCCAACCAATCGTATCCTTCACATGAAGCTGATGCACACACACACCTGCTCTGTGTGTGTGTGTGAGAGACAATGTGTGTGTCTGTATGTGTGTGTCTGATGTCCCTCTGTTGTCCTTGACTCGTCTTCCTGAGCTTTCGTCCACTCCTCTTCAGGTCCTCTTCTACCTGAACAGCTGGTACTTTGCTGCCTTCTACGTGGCAGAGATCCTGATGTTCATCTACAAAGGTCTGAGAGAGACGCTGTTTTATACATTAAGATATATAATATACATTTGTATATATATATATATATATATATATATACACAATTATATATTCATATAACTTTCCACTGTCACTGAGGTAAACCATCATCAAACAGCTCTCAGTGATACAGCAGCAATGTTTCCTCAGCATGCAGCAGAACACACACTCAATGAGGTGGAACACTGATGAAACTCTATATAATAGAATGTATGAGTTCATGTTGTACTGGTTGTGTGTGTCACAAGAGGGGGGGGGGGGGGGGGAGTACTGTTATACTGTGCTGACATTGTAGTTTTAACGTGTTCAGTGGGTCGTTCTTGTCCCTGAAGGTGAGTCTGTAGTTTATTAAAGGAGCTGAGCTTCAACCTCCAAAATAACAAAACGCCCAAAACGTCCTCGTGAGGCACGAACAATAAGTTCATGTACTAATACATGTCTACTGTATTTGTCTTACAGTGTATTGTACTGACTCTCTGAGAGCAGCAGTGTTCCTCCTGGTTCCACTACGCCGGTGTGATGATGCAGATCGTTACTAAACAACTGAAACCCATTAAAATTAGTTAAAGTTTAGGTTTTACCTTAAATCAGTAAAACGTAAACATGTGTGAACATTGATGACAAGCATGAGGAACAATTTCAGTTTTTATTCATTAAAGAATCAACAAGAACCACAAAGTGCTGAGAATACATGAATACAACGTTTAGACACAGTAAGTGTAGTAACAGTAAAGTGAGTACTGTGTATATATAGCAC